AGGTACTGTTTTTTTTATTATAATTAATTATGTTTCCGAAAGTATGCCAGGAACGGGTAAACTACCCCTGGACTTCAATTTTTGCATTAGATTTACAGTTATTTGTTTGTGTAGGCTCCTCCTACTTTCTCTGGTACGCAGTCAGAACCACTCTATATAGTGTGTCCTGCTTACAAATAACGGTATTGTGTTAATAAGAAGAATAAATATCAATATATATGTATAGCAATTTATCCGAATCGATTGGAGTTTTGGCTACGCATTTTCCTAAACAATTCAAATAAACGTCGGTCTATACATATATGATATTACTAAACATGGTGCCTAGCTGGACGGTGGTGGCGCTCTGTATAATGGTGTAGGATTTTTAAAGACTGTATAGCCTTTACAATGTTTCATTAATGATATATATTTCGAATCAAATAAGATTGAGCAATGTTATCGAGCAATTTAACAATATTATAGTTTTGTATTTTCTTGGGTCTATTAATGCATGGTGCCTGGCTAGTATATTTTTGATTGGGCACTTTACAATTTATATCATTATCAGAATTTATCTTGAATCAATTAAGAAACATTCGTGATGTTTTCGGAACAAACAAAAAAAGATGGATTTTGTATTTTTACAAATAAAAACGGAAAAGTATTTCTATTCAATTGTATTTTCAAATACTGGGTGTAAAAAAAAACGCCTGACACTTTTGATCTGTAATAACTTTTAAAATGGTAAGCAAACATTTTATTTCATATTTATGAGGTACCCGTAGCTGATTTTCAAAGAAGTGTAGACATCAATAATGGCACAGCTTTTATTCATGTTTACATTATTTTGAATTATTTTCACTAGACTGCTAGAGGATTTCAGATTTGGGCTCAAAATTACATTGTCTACAGATGCTTATGAGAGTATTTAGTTTATGTATCAAACAATAGCATTTTACTGTCTATCTACACAATTTTTAGTACAACCGGGGGGGGGGGGATCGGCACATGATCCGCATTTTTAAGTGAAGAAAGACAAGAAACTACCTACCATCACATCACGGTATCGATAGGCAATTATGCTCTCCAAACTCCACAACTTGTAGGCCCGGATGAAAGAATTTTTGAAAAGGGGTATCGTTTGTTACACGCGCCAGAGGCCTAGACTCTCATGGACCACTATTCAAAATGAAAATTTGTATAGGGGTGGAGTTTGACCAAAGTTGAAAATCCTCTTCTTGAAATAAATGAAAATGATGACAAAATTAAAACAAGTTCTACCATCTATTTCTACTCCAGACATTTTTTTATACAATATCTTTCCGTCAACTATCAAAATTTAATCAACATGCAACGTACCTGAAAACAAGTGTCCATTTTTGTTCACACCCAGTAAGTACATTGAGCTGCTTGGTGCACATGTTTTCTTTGTTATTTTTTTCTACAAATCTTCTTTTAAAAAAAAGATTACTATAAAGAAGCCACACATGAATAATGCATTAATAAAAAAATCAAATCAAATTTGGTGACAATGGATGTAAGCCCTTTCGGAAAGGAGTTCGTCACTATTTTATTAACAAACTAGCTAGATTAGGGAGAGTATGCCATTCCAAGAAATGCCTGGGTCACTAACACACCGGGCCCTTTGCGATGTAATTTATTGTATAATTGATTATTGTAAAGCGCATAGAGAATTTCTTATTATGCGCTTTTTAAAAATTACTGTTATTGTTATTATTTCCTCTACCCGGCGGCCTGCCATCCGCAGCTCGCGCGGGACCCGTACGATGAGGGGCCATTTACCGTTTTAACGGTCAGATGAAAACGCTGGGAGCAACTCAGCAATACGGCGCCCGTACGGCGCCCGTACGGCTGATGAAAAATACCCCGGCGCCCGTATAGGAACTGTACAGGAGCCAGCCGGACACCGCCTGAAAATCCCCCAAAATGTCTGCTTTTACTCGCCGCAAGGGCGCCAGGGTATTTGCCCCATAAAGAGTAACCTTTTACAATATATACTGGTATTATCAATTCTCTGTTAATACTTGGCTTCACGGAGTACTTCTTCATAAAGGAGCAACGTACGTATACGTAGTGGCGGATCCAGGGGGGGGGGGGGCGTTAATTTTTATCTTTTTTTCGGAGATCCCCGCCCCTCCCTGGCGCTCAATGGGGGGGGGGGGGGTGCAATTTTGAACATTGGGTGGATAGTGATCCTTTACAATTTTGATATATTTGGATGCCCCTGTGGATGTATTATACGCACAAACAAATTTAGACCCTAAAAAACTTCTGCATTTGAGAAAAAACATGAATATTGCTCCCGGTAAATTTTGATAAATTTCAAATAGGTTCTACGGCCTTACAATGGTAGCTGCGACCATGAAAACCTCCGAATATGTAGTTGTGATGTATAATTTCCTAACTGGAATATCTAATCGGTCGATTTTAATCAAGAAACATTGTTTCATAGCTTAATTAATATCTTGATCTTGAGAGAGAGAGAGCTATACAACATAAACAGTTTATTATTTACAATTTCGTAACTCATTAGACTCGATTTCAACCGCGACAACGATCACTAAATATTTTAGGATCGCATATGCTTACAATATGTTCATTTGGAAAAAAATCATGACCCCATACCAACATTTTGTTTTACCTTTAATAAAGATATGTTCAGACAGTATCATGTAAACACGTGTATAGTTCCTTAACCCTAAAAAGGCCGGGCTATTTGAAGTCTTAGTACGGCCAGGGGGGGGGGGGGGGGCATAATGGCCCCCCTTAAGATCTCGGCCGCGAAGGGGCCGATCGCCATGAAAATGTGCACGCATGTCAAGTGAAGTGTATAAAATAATATGATAATTTCAATTTTTTGAAAAATTCACTCATTTGCATATTTATGGTAATTTATGCACATAATATTTAAGCATTCTTTTTCACTACATATATTCATTAGACCATTCTGAATAATAATACGACAACAACATTTGGAAGAGCCAGCTTATTCCTTATGTTATCCCTTGTTTCAATAATTTCTTATGTATTTCATTGTTTTTTTAACTGATGTAATTCCTTATTTATGTTGTTTTGTTTCATTTCTCAATACAATTCAACTATATTGACTCCCAAAACAACCACCTAAACTTTAAACAAGACCCAATAACCCATGTTTGATCTGTTTTTAGGAAAAATGACTTTTCCATATGTTTTTTACACAAATCACGAAAATGAGCGATTTTCAGGCTGACATGCAAAGACAAAATGTCATGTGACCTTGTAACCGTAAGTCCGATTTTCAAAAGAATTATTTTAAAAGTTGCGCAAGACTCGGTAGAAAAAAGTCAGCGGGCGGCGGGGCCCCATCCATATGCGTTCCCAAGCAATCAAACAATCGTGGAGGGCCTTATTAGGGCTAAAGAGAAGGTTCATTTATTTAAAAAAATAACTTTAATGTCATTATTGCAAAGATGACAATGCTTGGAAACATTCGAAGTAACGCTTAGATACAGCCACGACATAGCACCTGAAAAGCTCCCCGGTCGCTGCTGAGATATGACGTCACATGTTGAACATGATGTGCACAAACAGACCATGTCCCATGACATCTCACACAATTTCAGTGCCTGTTTTGTCATCTTTTCTTCAGTTACTTCTCTTACTTCAATACCCTCAGGCGAAATGTTTACTCTATTGCCTCACCCTAAACCCCGTGCATGGTATTATTTTGATGAAAAATGCAAGAATTAAATTTTAAAAAACGAATCCGTTGCTTAAATTGGAAACAAAATAAGACGCCATTGTACACCGTGCCGTGTCAAGAGGGAACAAAATGACGTCCATGCTATCATTCCGAAGGTCTTTTGATGTGAAAGTGTGGTTTCTTTGATTGTTCATTAACCCATATCCAAACAAAAATAATTTCGTTATCAGAATGGAGGTCATAACTATTTTTGAATGGTGTAAAATTCCATCACATATATATACACCAAACTCATTATAATTTGAGAAATAAAAGCATTGCAATTATGTTCATTCTTTATGGAATGTCGTCTGCTTGGGCAGGGTTGGTTCATATTGTGACGGCATTAAAATATTGTTATTTCAGGCTAATCTCTTGCATATCCCAGATGCTATGGAGGTTGTTTTATTTCTATTTTTATAAACCCCCCGATATGTAGTTGACCGAAACTTGCATGATGGCCATCTGTTAGCTTACCAGTTTCTAGTAATACGCTATTTGCCATATTTGTGATTTTCTATGAACCCGCACTTTAAGATGGTCACGAAAGTAACTGCATTTCGGCAGTGGACACTTTTCGTCAATCGTAGACTCATCTCGCTGATCTACCAGACACATCTCGCCAGTAGAATGCGGCGAGATGTGTCAGCTAGAAACAACAGATGTGTCTCGCCAGGCAAGAAAAACAGGGGATGGAGACAGAATAAGATGCCTATACACTGCAAAACTGTATTTGTGCGATACAGACACGAACTAAAATAGTGGCTTTACAGGTCAACGTGATAGAAGCAATGGAATCGTTACACATTTTCAAACAAAGTGTCGATCTCCTCCTGGCTTCTTCATTCTTTTTTCCTCACGATTTTCAGTGATCGAAATTGTTTCAGTAGTCTCTCTCCCTCTCTCTCTGTCCTCTCCTGTGATACGTTGTGTTTATACTTCAATCCATCTCTTTTATACACCTTTCCCTCGTTTCCTTCTCATATTCTATACAATTCCCACTTCTCCTTGAATGACTCATGTATTCATGAACCATTTTATGATTAGTAATAAAGCAATCGTTACTTTATATCTCTTATTTTCATCGTAATAATAATAATAATAATGATGTTGGTAATAATAAATAGTGAGAATTTTGATAACAACAATCCTGGTATTAAATAATAACTGTTGATGATGATGATAATAATTATAATAATAATAGTTTACACACGTCTTAAATTGTCTGTATTGAAAACATGTACTGTATGAATCAAACATGGACGCAAATAACTATTCAGCAGTCTTCCCTATTGGAACATTTATTTCAATTACTAGTGATCTCTAATGAAAAATATATATCAATACAAAAATATATCATACGAACTAAAATATATATAGAAACATACAACCTTGAAACATGAAAGACTTATAAGGGGTAACCCTAGTACTGTATAATGAATTGCTTTGGAGGAACATGAATATAGAAATTAAAGAAAATATATGTTACATGTTTAGAAAATAATAATTCATATTTTCAAATGACAATGAGACAAAAGAAAGCTTGTGTGCGTTTATAAATTTACTTGTCATTGTGCTACATATGACACATCCATTGAAAGCCTGCTTTGTTTTAATTTATCATACATACATTCATGTCTTCTTTTATTTCCAACCCTATTCATTTCTACATCATTATTGCAGCGACATGTTCCTAAACAAGATAAAGGACCTACGTGAAAGTTTTGGTTACACTTCCCTTAATCTTCATATAATCAGCATAACCTTTTAGTAATTAATTGAACAAACAAGTCCTTGTTACACAATCCTGTAATTGCAAGTCAAGCAAGTGGGATTAAAAATATTCCTGGTGGTGGTGGGGGGAGGGGTTACTTTGGTACCTGACACAAATGTCACAAGTACAAGTGCAAGAGGTGAAAAACATTGTTTTATATTTATAAAGGAAATATTCTAAGTTACTGTTTGTATCGTTTTAGTGCTGTGTATTTATCATATATGATCACATTATTCTGGGTACATAAAATAATTGGTTAAATGCAAATACCATAAGCCCTTAATTAATATAATAGTATGATTGTATACACTTTGATATTTAGCCTATCCAGTGCGTTGCTTTGGTGCCTGGCAAAAATGTGACAGGTAATCACATGATCACATTATTCTGGGTACTTGAAAGCCCTTTTCTACATAATATGCAATTAAATCTATTCATACAAAATCATTTCAATTAAAAGGAGTATTTATCTACTGTATACATAGAAAGAGAGAGAAAGAGGGGGATGGTATACTCCCCGCTAACATAAGCATTTGAAATAAAACTATAGAAAATTTGTACTATTTAAAGTCTTAAAATTGATCCGCATTAAAAGCATGAGATAAACATAAATTACTTGATCAATACAGATATGATATCAAACCCGTCCTGATCAACAATGCAGCCCTTATACACTCACAGATACAGAAAATCGTATTCAATTAATTGTTATACTTATCTTCAAATATTTCTATATCATTAGTCTTATGTTTTTAACAAAGACTTGCTGATATGTAGTACTTTAAGAGTAATGTAAGTAACCCTTAATTAATATAATAGTATGATCGTTTGTAATAGAGACTTAGCATGATTACATCAATAGTGAACATCATGAATACATCAATAGTATGATTGTATACACTTTGATATTTAGCCTATCCAGGGCGTTACTTTGGTGCCTGGCAAAAATGTGACAGGTAAAAGTGCAAGAGGTAAAAAATGTTATTTATATTCATAAAAGAAAGATTCAAAATTACTGTTTGTATTGTTTTAGCGCCATGGATTCATCCCATATGTTCACACCATTATGTTTACTTGAACGCTCTCCTTTCTACATCATATGCATTTAAATCTATTCATACAAAGTCAGAATGCTAAAAAAGTGTAGTCATCTAATATATATATATAGAGAGAGAGAGAGAGAGAAAGAGAGAGAGGAGGTGTTATACTCCCGCTACCATAAGCAATTGAAATAAAACTATAGAAAATTCGTACTATTTAAAGACTTACAATTGGTACACGTTAAAAGCATGTGATAGGAATTGGCTCTTTAGATAACAGTTTGGGTGAAATCATTTTTTACCACATTTTTATAATTTGTTGTAACATGAATATAAATTACTTGATCAATAAAGATATGATATCAAACCATTTCTAGATTAACAATGAAGCCCTTATATATTCACAGATACAGTAAATTACATTGAAATCATTCATGTACTTATATCCAATTTGATCTGTATAACATCAGTTTTATGTTTGTAACACAGACTTGCTGAAAAGCAGTCTTTTTAAAATGATGTGAGTTTAACATGATTACATCAGTTCAATCAGCCAATCGGTCAAATGCAAGTAAGCCGTTAATTGATAAAATAGTATGGTTGTTTGTAACAGAGACTTGGAATGATTTCATCAATTAAATCAGTCAATCTATCAAATGCAAGTAAGCCCTTACTTAATCTAATAATATGATTGTATACACTTTGATATTTAGCCTATCCAGAAGAGAACCCATCTATCCATAAGACGTAACTAATTCACTAAATTCTTTTCTGTTGTCATATTCGTTCTTTGTCCGAAGGTAAGTTTCTTGGTGATCAATAATGCATTGGATTTCGCTCCACACCGTTGTACTGTAATAAAGAAGAGTAGAACAAAACAGAAAATCAAAGTTTGAAAGAAAATACATATCCTTTGGTATTAAAGTGTACCAATCACTTAACACAGATAAGTTATGTATTGCTAGAATTAATAAATCAAACTTCAACATTTAACCAGGCATCTAATGGATTCACGGTTAAAAGGTAAGGATATAAAACAGTGCATGTGGAACCCAAGTTGGACTTCGGTTCCGTGTGAGCCCTATCAGAAGCGAGTGCTGAGGGTGCACTGCATACTCCATAGTCTACTCACAAGTTTCTTGTATAACAATTGAGAGTGTTATAATAATTTAAGTTAAAATATTTAAAGTAATATCTCTAAAACTCATATTTGGAATCAAGTGATACAACATGGAACTAGTAACATATAAAACAATTTATTTTCTGGTGATCAGAACACTCTAAAATATAAATAATAAATGAGGGATTAGAGAAAGGACACAAATGTGACATGACAAGCATTGTAAAATAACTTATTAATTAATTAAAAGTAATTCCAGTATATTAAGATGGGAATGGGTCATTTTCCTAAGACGGTCAAAGTGGAGGTATCGTGGTATAGTGGTCCATTCTCTTGCCTTTTAATCCAAGGGTTGAGGGTTCGAATCCAAGCCAAGCAATAATGTCCTTTGACTGGAATTAATCCACATTTACTAATCTCTACTCAGGTATTAAATGGGTACCAGGCATGATGCGAAAGTCACTGCAGTTTGCTTAGCATTGTGGTTTTCTGTAAAATGGCACTTGGCTGGGCTGTTGGTACCTCAGGAGAATGTGCCTACATTTGCATGCATTGTGTGCAGGCAAGCCTAAATCCAATGACAAATGGTAATACTATAACAATAAAGTGCTTTGAGACATGGCCAATGTATCAAGCCCTATTACAAACCAAGATCGTTATCATTACTTAAATTAACATTAAATAATACATATAAAGAATTTTGAAAGGGCAGATTAACTTTCCCACCAATTTAAAGGGGTAACTTATGCCAATCTTGTATAGTTCTTGGGAGAAAGGAGTTGACACGTTCCAAGGTTCTTCATTCGATGACTCTGTATGCATCAAATGTCCACAAACAGTGGGTGAAAAGGCCACGCAACAATACCGCCGAGAGAGCTCAGATTTTATGTCTAGCCCAGAAGTCATAAATTGGCCCATGACATCTGATAGGTGGCATACCGTATTACAAGAACTCAGAGCCATATACACAAGAGTTTGACCAGCTTGATTTCAGTTGGTCAGAACATGGTGTATCTTTGTTAGGTGTCTGCCCATCATAGCAGTATTTTCAATGCTTTGCCAAACTCATAAATGGTTCGCCCAACTCAAATATGGTTGGCCAAACTCTCCTGATAAATGACACTACGAATGCAGAGCATTGTCAAATGCAAATAATCTTCTACATACCGTTTCACTCCCATCTACCACATAGGGAGTCTTGAAATTGCGATCTCCATGATGCTGTTGGGAAGACAAACAATAATAAAAGACTTGATAATTTCTTTTTCTATCAAAACATAATCTATAAAATCATTAAATTGAAAAGTATACTGATTAAAAACAGATAATCAAGAATCTAGTTGTATCTTGAACAATAAAAAAAAAAAAAAAACATTCACTAGACCTGTTTATCAATTGTATGCATACTTTTTAAACAAATGTTTTTCTTGACTACTCAAAAACTTGCCAGAGGATTTACCAACATAGCACGAAATAATGTAAGCAAAGTGTATCCCATTCATAGAGATGCAATTATTAGCAGGTGAACGGAATGGCTGGTAATGGGGAGAAGAAATGTGTATAAATTGAAAGAGTTAGTAAAATGGTCTATTCAATGTGAACATTCATTGTCAAGCTGAATATAATTCCTTACTGATATTCAGATTTTGATATCTATGTGGGTATTTCAAGCAGTGGTATATGTCCTGGAGGTCAAGTACGGGATGGGGGGCGGGGGGGGGGGGGGTGGGGCAGTGCACATTCACCATCCACACCTTGATGATTTTCTTGGTTGTTTTGTTTTCACTATTTGTTATTATGTTGATAACCCTTGCTGTGTCGGGGTCAAATTCATTGTATATGTTGCATAAAGAATCATTTAATTTCAAGCACACATTGCCCCACCATCATGCATTCTAAACATTTAGCAATTACTATAATTGTTTTGAGAAAATTGCATATTTTGTATAGGAACACTTCTGGCTTCTCTCTATGAATATGAAACAGTAGTAAACAAACGAGGAATAAAAATGTAAGAAACTAAATTGAAACACATTTTCATTTCTCGATAAATTTCATGCATGACATCGTTTAAAGGAGGCAAGTATGGTGTTGTAAGGATGGTAATACATTTCCTATACAAGTGATGTATGTGCAGGTGTGTGAAAACTACAATGTTCAGCTATTTTGTAGATTATAAAAAGCCTTTGGTATATCTATTACATGATAAATATATGTTGAAGAGGGAGATTATTTGTGTGGTATATAGCGTTAAAGGGAGTTAAGTTCTGTTGCAGAGGGCGCTACACAAAAATATTTTTTGTAAGATAATGAAAAACTGAGTGTCAAATTTGAAAGAACATAATATTTAAATGACAAAATCATCTTTGTTTGATCAAAATCGGTTCAGAGACGGCTGAAATATAACGATTTCTAATACTTGTGTAAAAAAACTTGAAAAAAACGTGCAAAAAAATGAAATAACGCCTTTTATGTCATATTTCATATACATACCGATGTTGGTTTTTTTGTTGGCATTTTCGTGTTGCTTATATTACCCACAATTAGCCGGCTCATGTATTGTTATTTTGAATGAAATAATTAATTAACGGTCACCGTGTTTTTTGGAAAGTGGAGCTGAATTGGTATGATCATATTGGCTAAATTTCACACATTTTGGGATCTAAAATTATCTTCATAGCAATTTTAGGTTCTAAAAGGGCACTATAAATGTCATAGATAAGAATAAGAGCAATAACCATGCACTTTAAAGGCATTTGCTGTCTGAAAACAGAACTCAACTATCCCTTTAAACACATGGACAAGGAAACCGTTTATACCTGTGCATCAGTTCCGCGCAGTCGATCCAAAGCTTGACCAACTGCATACCGGCGTCCTTCAAGAGAATCATACTCCTCAGAACCATTGAAAGATTCGTTTCCGTAGAAGCCTCTATTTTGTCTGCTCGAATCGACATACCGTTCTTCACTGAAAAAAAAACAAACAAAAAAACATTGTTATATATTTTTGTTATAAGTAATAATAATAATAATAATAATAATAATAGTGGGTTCTTGTATAGCGCTCATGTCTCTCATACGTGACACTCCTGGCGCTCCTGATTATTATGCCATACGTCACTCAAGCACTTCAAGGAATCAATTCCTGCCAGTGTTATAAACATTGTGAGTAATAGCATCACAAAATTTACAAAATGTGTCGAGACAGAAGACCATCACTAAGAACTGTGATGGTCCAATCAAGTGGTTCTCTGCATCTCAAAGAGAATCAAGAGAGATCTGTGGTTACACAGAGTGGGACAGATTGATAGATAAACAGGTATGCAGATGGATAGAAAGGTGGACAAAGGTTTATAATTATATAAATAAATGTAGACAGGTAGATAGAGATATGTACAAATAGGCAGCAGATTTATAGATAGTTTGATAGACACTTTCTTAATAGCATTCATACAACATGTCAAGAAAAGTTAAATATCACTTGGCAAGGCACCTCTAGATTTATATATTTAATTATTTATTTCTGATATTTAGACAAGGTGACTCATTATCACCAGTAATGGTGGTCTTCCATGAGGCCCTGTTAAACATAATGATGTACATTATAGTTTAACAAATATAGATATGATAATAATATTAATAACAAAATATTGAACATAAATTCATAACAGCAATAAACAATAAGTAAGAACATGTATAAACATATATACAAAGAGTTTTGGTATGCTCGTAATAAAAGAATGGTTTGTTTGTTTTGTTTTGCCTTAGATACATCTAAGGCAAGTCAAAAATACATATATAGGTCCCATACTTAACGAAGTATTATTGAATTGTGTCAACATAAAACTACCATTTAATGTAATGTGTTATCCAATTCAAGCTCTAGAGCTATTATCTTGTTACTACAGTCGTCATATATATTGAAATCATACATGTAGATGTGGTCAGTAATAGCTTGAGCTCGTTCATTTGTAAATGTATTGTAATACTCACGCGAGCATCAGTTTTGTTGCTTGATTTCGTCTGACACCTTGTACGAAAACGCAGCAGACACAGGTTATGAGGACGAGAACAAAACCAAAAACTCCGAGAGCAATACCAATGATGGCTCCATTCGACAATCCTTGAGGAGCTGTAAAATAAATGTATCAGATATGAGATTAGGAAAAACATGATCAAACAAATATACATGTACATGTACGCAAAGAAAAGAGAGTACCCTCACATCCATTTCTTGTGAAACTGTATATAAAACCATATATATATATATATATAAACGTGTATGCCTAGGGAGAATGAGTGAGAGGGAGCATAAGCACACTAAAAATGACTAATTACACAACTTACCATTCTGGCAAAGGTCTCCTGTAAAACCAGCTGGGCAATTACAAGGCTGTCCAGCAGAAGTACATGTCCCACCGTTCTGGCAGTTCGTTTGATCGCACTGAACTGTTCATTTCAAAGATATATGAATGATTCAAATTACTTCAGATAACTGACCAACTTATTTTATCGTTATTTATTGACAAGGTATAAACAGTAGAAAACACAAGAACTCCATAACTACTCTAATATGAACAAATAGTAATAATAATAATACAGTCTACTGAATACTACATGTGCGTTGACAGCTAGATGTGTGCAATTTTTGAAATTGCCTAATCTATAGAACTATAAGTACAGAATATGATAAGTAGCGTCATTCCTCCAGCTTATTTTAGTACCATTTTTGTTGGGCATCTCTTCACGGTTGACTGCACAGGGGTCGAATCCCATGGATTGGACAATATCAAACACCATGTGCACCAGCACCATGCCTTTTCTTGCCTTGGTATTACTACAGAACCATCTTTGATTCGATATTGTATGACATAACAATTGGTTCAAATGCAAGTCACTCCAAGATATCATAATTTCAAGAATTATTTGTCACAAACAAATTTTAAAAACAAACACTATTTGCTGTATGTTCGAGTGTATCTTGAACACAACATCTTATCCCTTGGTTGCATCAGATACTCACTCTAGCCCTTAGTGATCTAGAGTTCATTACCAATTAATCTTAGATATGATTTTGCAAATAATTAAGGACCGTCAAATTAAAATTACAAACTTTTAACATTTGCAAGGCTATACTATAAATTTCTAATGCAAAAAGTATCTGAAATTGACCTGTGATTGTGTCCTCTGGCATTGCCTGTCATTTGCGAAGGTGGCTCTTTATACATTGCAGACAGCTGAACTCATGTCAAGATACCAAGTCACAAACAACAACATTATTTGTTTTGACAACTAAAAAGATAATATCCTCTTGTAAGGTGTCTTAAGAGAAGAATGGCTGGTGAAAAAAGCCTGGATTTTACTCTTACCTTCTGCCGATATAGATGCTACCAGAGTTTGACCATTAGCTGATAAGTTTTGATCAATGTTGGTAGATAAGGCAGATAAACTCACAGCAAGCCCATCTGCTACACTTTGGCTCTCAGCAGCAAGTTCCACTTGCACGTCACTGACTACGCTACCTTGGCTGAATGACAGCACTATGCAATTAGCATCAACAAGTTGAGAACCTAACTGTTCCCTTACGTATTGGCTGAACTGATAAATGAGAAAGTAGAGAAAGCCAGAATCAGAGTATGCTTGTATACATATGTAGTTCACGAATTGCCTGAAGCTGCTTGGCGTTCTTATACAGGCGAATCTCAAATGGGATAGCCATATCTCCGACGTGGTTTCAAGAGCTGGAAGGAGAATATTCATGATTTGTCGTCTGCGGAAAACGTCAGTCCCGATGCACGACCTAGTGAATATATATTCCACATATATTCGTCCGTTATTAGAATACGCATCTCCATTGTGGTCTACAAGCATAACAACAAATCAAATCAATGATATTGAGAGGATCCAAAAGCGTATATGTCGCATCATCCTGAGGGATCAGTACATCTCCTATGAACACGCTTTGGAAACACTTGGCATCAGTCGTATGTCCGAGCGACATGAGCAGTTGCTGCTCTCCTTTGCCAAGAGCCTGTTGGCTTCTTCCAGGCATCGAGACTTCCTTCCGCCCCTACGCAGCGAAATATCCTCCCGGCGTCTACGTTACTCGCACCACTTGGATACCCCCATGTGTAGGACTGCTCGGTACCGCTCGTCAACAATGCCCTCTGCAATAAGACTGCTTAACGAGAATCTATAAATCGTTTCATTATTTTATTAATTCATTAGTGTTCCTTTTTTTAAAACTTCAATTGTATGCTCTTGCTAAATATTAATGTTGTGCTTTTTATCTATAATATAATGTGCAATATCTTATACGAAATTATGTAATATTGTTATTCAAATATCAATTTTTTCTTGTTTCAGATGAATGATGTCATTACAATTAACAATAGCAATTGTTAAATACACTCTGTACTATATTTTTTTAGACAAATAACTTTCTTATTCTCATGCATATTAATAGATATTTGGTTTTAAACAAACCGGTATAATAACACGTTTGCAATATACACTTTTATCCAATTTACTCTCAGACTGCCTAAAACTGTAAACATATTTTAATCCGTTGTTTCATTAGGCCTTTAGTGTTCCCTTCTTTTATATATTCTTTTTAATACAAATTCATGCCCTTGCCAATTATTTGACTTGGGTCTTTTTTTCCAAAGTAATGTGCAATATCTAATTCAAAATTACACTATATTGTGATATTGTTATGTAAATACTCATTTTAATTTTATTTGAACAACTTTCTCGATCTAGATGAATGCTGTCATTACATTTATATTAAAGGGGAAAACGGAATAGAGACTGTCATTTTGACTTTTACGGTTTAATTTCATCCCATCCAATAGTTTTTTTTTTAATGCTTAATTTCATTTTTTGTAATAGAAATGTTTGTTTAGCAATTGTTAAATACTTTCTCAACTCTTTCGGTCAAACAACTTCCTTTTTTCTTCTCCATTCTCTCCTCCCTACCGTCTTGGTTCTTCAACATGAAAGTATATTATTACATTACTTTATAACTTTGTTTTGCAATTTCGACTTCATCTTACAATGACTTACAATATGTATTTTAGTTTTGTATATGTTTATATCTCTCTATATTTTTAACTTGTTTGTAAATTGAACATTTTCAGCCTGCGAGCTGCTTGTTTGATGTGATTTCTCAATAAACCAAACCAATTCAATTCAATTCAATTCAATTCATGTAAATATATTTCCTTTTTTTTCAAAGATAAAGTTCAGTTCCAGTCATGCACTGAAAAATCAATAGATACAGGGTGATTATGTAGTGCACACAAATTGATGTAAACTATGAGGTTCTGGAAACAACAAAATGATCAGAAATACAACACTAATAACCCATAGCAGTAGAGTGTCTCCTCTTACTTCTCCAATATACCTCTGTCTATATGAATGTTCCTCTGACTTTGACATCAACCCATTATTGCAGTGAAGATATATTTTCTGGTAAGTTTAACGCTTTCATGACCATGTGACCTTTGACTTTTGACATCTCTCACCCAAGATCCAATCAGTTCATCCTTGAATGTTCATGCACACTTCATCCAAGTATGGTGTGAATTGCTTCAAAGCATTTTCAAGTTATTGCGTAAACAAGATATATTTTTGGTATTTGAAAACACATTTATGAGCCTGTGACATTTGACCTTCAAGTTTTAACACCAAAAATATAGTCAGTTCAACTTTTCATACTCATACTTGTACATATTTCATCTGAGTTTTGTTCAAATGGGATGAACGGAGGACGAACTGGCAAGACGATAAAAACAATGTCTTCTGCACCATCTTCAGTGGCGGAGGCATAAAGAAAGGACTACAAGTATATTCTCTTTTATTTCATGGATCTACAAGTAGCATTTGTTCAGGAGGAACCAACACTTTATTACAAAGTTTCAGTAGACTACTGCACTACCTGACATTTGTATAGACATCTTAATGTGATATATGGTGATGATGTAGTGTGTTGGATTTGCAAGCTGAAGAAGCACCACATATCTGCGTCTAAAAAATTGTCGTCAGTTTTCTCGCATTTACTGGTGAAGAAAGATATACTTACAATGTAACAGAATGCAACTTCATATTCCATGAATTTGGTCGATGTCCTATTTGTTAATTCTGATGTATACGTCAGGATTTGACCATTCAGACTTTGTCCTGTGATCTTCACAGTCACTTGACTAGTGGACAGACTGCTTGGGAGAGCTGGATATACATTAAAAAAATATAAAAAACAATGACATGAAGCCAATATATTTATGGATACTTCAATGTGTTTCCTCCAGGCAAAAAATCATTAATACATTCGGTTTTGTATTCTCATGGAACAAGATTGTCATAAGGAGACTACAGATGGAAAGTGTACAATATATACAATACCATTCTCGTCAGATGATTTATAAGGAATGTATCAAGTAATTTTCATATATGTACAGCTAACACCTACCGGGTACATTATTCATGCCCTAACCAATTGAATGGCCAAATTTCTACCACATTTCGTCTGGTGTGAATTTGAATGCTTTTCACTTTATTTTTTTCATTTGAAAATTTGTTACACACTTTTGAATATGTAACTATGAAATCACAAGAAAAAAAACTATATCAAAATGCTATTTGGATGATGAACTATTCCTTCATAAAATTGTGCATAAAACTGAACGAACTTGATATTGATTTGTTTGTTTTTATCTTTCGATATTTTTTTTAATTTTACAAAGTTGGTCATTAAACCTACATTATTCCTTATTGAAAAAGAAAAACTTATATTTAGACATACCATTGCAAGAATTTGCATTGACTAACATGAATCCAGCATTGCAGACACACGTGTATGATCCATCCAAGTTGACACATCTTCCATTACTACAGAGACTCGAACTAAGCTCACACTCATTAACATCTATGGCAAAGTGGTAAAATGAAAATTTGAAACAATATGATGAGTAACTTTTGATAATAATTATCATAATATAAACGATGATAATATATGATAACAATTATAATAATGATAATATTAATAACTATTAACTTGTATGTTGCTATTGTATTACGTATTGTAACAGGTGGTCGACTTCAGCAAAGATACATACCACTTTCTCAAGTTAGCTCATTGATGACTGACAGATGATGTCACAAGGGGAATGAGATCTGGAAGTTTTTGGGGTTGGAGCTTAGCAAGTTTGAAAAACATATATTTAAAAAAATATTTAAAAATCTATGAAACAAATTCAGAAGTTTACATATCAAATTATGAGATGTATGCAGGACAGCACACCAACAGAAATACACTTGTATTTCGATCGATGTCATGGGCCTTTTAAATGGTTGAGTTCTGGACATGAGATTGCATTGTGCAAAAAACTATTAGTGAGTAGGAAAAGGTAGATGATATTTTTGAAGTCTTTGAGATCGTGGTATTAGATTAAATGAAAAGAAAATCAAAAACAAGTATCTGAAACGCTACAACGTTCAGACTCTACTTTTAGCCTAGATTACGAATATGTTTAAAACATGTTCGTAATCTAGGCTAAGAATTAAGTCTTTTATTTAAGAGTTTTCATCTTATTTGCCTCCACCCAAAAAAAGAAATAAAATATAACCATTTCCTGTTTTTATGACGGTGAGAAAATGGTATAATTTAGCTTACCTGTTTGACACATACTCCCGGTATAGCTAGCAACACAGGAACAAGTGAACGAGTCAATCCCATCAGTACAACTTCCTCCATTCATACAAGGATTGGGAAGACAATCGTTGATATCTGATGGTTGAATTTATTAATCAATGAACAAACTTTGCATAGCATAGAAATCACCGGTTCATGAATGTCTTAAAATGAAAAAAAAAAAAAATGAATTATCAACCATAAGCCATTGACATTCTATTGACTTAATGTTTCACCTAAATGAAACTATAATAATCTTTATTTCTTTATTTTGCATTTGAAATTTCATTCTAACAAAGTGGCATTGTAATTTACAAAACTGCTCTCCACATTGGCCCTGTAGGCCTAGACAATAATAGGATTAAATATTAAAGTTATGGACCAATTAATTGCTAAGTTCTATATACATGTACCAGATACAGATTTAAGGCACACTAAGAATAATCTATTAGTAGCGAAGACGAATTCAAAGACTTTCTTAAAAATTATTTAAAAAAAATAAAAATAAAAACAAATAAACAACATCCCTTGTAACAATTTCATGTGCATGAAACAGAATAATAAGATAAACAAAAGTTTAAAAGAAAGCAGATCAATAATTAGAAAGTTATGAATGTTTGAAATACTAAATCACCACATCCGTGCAAATATCAAAGTAGCAATTAGTCAGTGGATTGTGATGGTTAATTCTCCCGTTTGTCATGAACAAAAAATTTCATAAATTTATCTTTTTCTCCAAAGCGTATTAGTAGCATATCTGTATACATGTAGTTCTTCTTAAGAGAAATTAGCCACTGAGTCATACATTTTATCGAAATCTTAATTTGTGTAATTCTGTGTGCAAATGGAAGAAATAGGAAATTTGTACCAATTCAGCCAATTTGAAGAGGCTATATTTACAGTGATTACAAATTTTAAAAATTACAACTTTCTCATGTTTTGTCTGATTTCATTCAAATTTCACTAGTCTACTTTTCTGTTTCTCCTGCATTTCTCTAGAGCAGATTGCTATCAAGGTTGCTTTTCCATTTAAGGGTAAAGAATTTAATGATGTGAAAGGAAAAACTAATTTGATTACAGAAATGGCATCATATTACAGGATTTGATCATAACCCAACGCCTTATCATTGATAAGTACATGCCTATCAGATATTAAATTGAAATTTTCAGTATTTATTTATATACGTGAATACTCAATTCATTTATGTATTTCTTAATTGTATTTGTGTTCTAATTATTATTATTATTATTTACTTATTTCCTTTTTTGGGGGGGGGGGGGATACTTACTAGTCTCGCACATAGTACCGGTAAAACCAGTAACACATTCACATTGTCCAGAGCTTATGCATGCTCCACCATTCTGGCAAACAATGGTGCCACAATCAGCTGTAAATAAAGAAGATAACTGATAAATGATTCAGATCCTAAAGCACATTAGAGGATGTCGTAGTCTAGTGGCTAGAACACTCAAGGGTGAAAGCATACATAACACTTTGCGAGGACCTGTACTCTATGTACTTAACAAAAAGACAAATTTCCATATATTTTCAGGAGATAACTGCTATAAAAGTAACTTAACATTATGTACATGACACATTGAACGACACATATTTGAGAAAAAAGGAAATCCAAGATATTTCCTTATCTTAAAGAAAACTGGAATCTTCAAATCAGAAGTCCGTGAATAAATGAATACCGGTAGTCTTAAATGTAAAAACAATATTATCTTTTAAAGTGACTCTGTAACATTGTTGAAGATTGATGAAGAAACTGCGTAATTTGTATATGAAATGTTACTTATTATATTCCTTCTACTGTACTAACCCTCTAACATGCACAAAATCCTGAAAAAGTTATCAAACGACAAAGATATTTATAGTTTTCTTTAAAAGCATCACTGTTCGACACCCTGTAAAACAGTAAATTCTCCCAACCATTAAAAAACAAATTCCCGACCATTTTTCAATGAAAATAAAACATAAAACTGGATTTTATAAATCTTTCAACACTCGAATGTCTGGAATGGTATATAGAGCCAATTAATTGCTTTGTGACGATTTTCATTCACCTTAAATGTAATTCAATTTTAATAATGAAGCTGGGAGAAATAAGGATTCGATCAGATCAGTTTTTCCAAATTTATATCATTAATAATGGTCTGCTTTTACTCAAATTTTTAGATTATCTTTAATTGAACATCTAGCATTGAAGTCACTACCTTAGAATCATTTTTTCCCATCTGAACAGTGTTACACTTGGTAACCTTTAACCCTTACTGTACTCGGGGGGGGGGGGGGGCCCGGGAGGCCCCCCCCCCTCAACATTTTCGGAGATTGCGCCGCAACCGCTTGAAATTTTGACTTGTCGTTTCATGACTTTTTTCCCTCAAGTCTTACGCACGTTTTGATACCATTTTCGTTGCAATCGGATATACCTGTGAGGTGTTACATAACAATTAGTATGCGCATGTCATCAAAAATATTCTATAATTGCATATTCATGTACAAGTAGAAATGTGAATACAGGTTTAGATGTATTCCTTCCTAAGTGGGTGATATGAATTGATATCGAATTGCTTTTATATGTTTCTCAAAGTAACTTGATGTATTCCAGAACAAAAGAATACATAAGAAATAAAAACAACAGATATAATAAGAAATTAAAAAAACAATAAAATACATAAGAAATTAAAAAAACAATAAAATACATAAGAAAATAAATATTTGAAAATCGCATCAAATTTGCATAAATTATCATTATTAATTACATCCAAATAAATATTTTGTGTTAGAAAAGAAGTTTCATATGAATAATGAGTTTCAACGTTCAAAAAGTGAAGTTTGACACGTTTTCTGTAAAATGTATAAAATTAGCATTTTGCATAATTAATTAGGCTATAACGACAAAAATTTGCATATTCGCAAAAAACTAATTACACCATCTTGTTCGTTACGTAAATATCTACAAACATGCAAATTTTCGTGTTCACCGGACATCCGACGGCCGAGATCATAGGGGGGGGGGGCCTCCCAGGCCCCCCCCCCCCCACCCAGTCAGGAGGTGCTCAAAATAGCCCAGTACAGTAAGGGTTAATGCAATAATAGACTAGGGCATGATATGTCAAGAAAAGGTATAATTTTAGACACCATTGTGTTCTTCACAAGCCAAGTATAGATCCATGTGGATAAAGTCAAAATAAAATCTGAACTGTTGTCCCACATGTAGAAATTAGTGATAGTGAAAAATTATCCTGGCTCTGATTGTCATGGTCTGGTTTCGGTTTACAAAATGAAATTACCTACTATCATATTAATAAAATAAACAACAACTGTTCAGGTAAAGATTAAAGATTGTTTACTTGTTGTGCAAGCATCTCCACTAAAGCCATCAGCACAGACACAGGTATTAAAAATAGAGTCAAAAGTGGTATCTTCAATTCGATTAACGACAGTGAGGGAAATAGTTACCTCATTTGTGAAACTATCAGTCAATAAATCAAACAAAGTAAACGGACTGATTATTTCTTTCAAAGTTCAAATCTGTATGTCTGTACATTCACTTCTGTTGACTCTCAAGTAAGAAGAAACACAAAGAGTTTCCTCAACAATCACTGTAATTTCTTCCTTTCTGTTCCCCTGTTCGCTTTGTATCTTTAATTTCTTGATAAGCAACGAATAAGAATTTCATTGGATTTTGCTTTACATCAAAAGTAAATGTATGTATGTTTTTTTTATAATCTATTCAGAAGTTATAGGTTACCTGTTTCACATGAATCGCCAGAATAGCCAGAATCACACACACACGTTACGGCGGCTGATCCAGGAGTACACATTCCTCTACTCGTACACGAATTGGCACCACAATCAGCTAAACAAGTAAAAATGGATTTCCGAAGGCAATGAATTTGATAAAGATGACGAGAAGAGAAAAATACCCGTTTTAAAAGATCAATCTTCACTTGGAGGGATACAGTAAAATAGAGTCAAAAGTGGTATCTTAAATTCGATTAACGACAGTGAGGGAAATAGTTACCTCATATGTGAAACTATCAGTCAATAAATCAAACAAAGTAAACGGACTGATTATTTCTTTCAAAATTCAAATCTGTATGTCTGTACATTCACTTCTGTTGACTCTCAAGTAAGAAGATAATCAAAGAGTTTCCTTAACAATCACTGTAATTTCTTTCTTTCTGTTCCCCTGTTCGCTCTGTATCTTTAATTTCTTGATAAGCAACGAATAAGAATTTCATTAGATTTTGCTTTACATCAAAAGTGAATGTATGTATGTGTTTTGTATAATCTATTTAGAAGTTATAGATTACCTGTTTCACATGAATCGCCAGAATAGCCGGAATTACACACGCACGTTACGGCGGCTGATCCAGGAGAACAAGTTCCTCTACTCGTACATGAATCGGCAAGACAATCAGCTAAACATGTAAAAAAAAAAAAAAAAAAAATGATTTCCGAAGGCAATGAATTTGATGAAGATGACGAGAAGAGAAAAATACCTGTTTGAAAAAATTAATCTTCACTTGGAGGGATACAGTAAAATAGAGTCAAAAGTGGTATCTTCAATTCGATTAACGACAGTGAGGGAAAGAGTTAGCTCATTTGTGAAACTATCAGTCAATAAATCAAACAAAGTAAACGGACTGATTATTTCTTTCAAAGTTCAAATCTGTATGTCTGTACTTTCACTTTTGTTGATTCTCAAGTAAGAAGAAACTCAAAGAGTTTTCTCAACAATCACTGTAATTTCTCTCTTTCTGTTCCCCTGTTCGCTCTGTATCTTTTATTTCTTGATAAGCAACGAATAAGAATTTCATTGGATTTTGCTTTACATCAAAAGTGAATGTATGTATGTGTTTTGTATAATCTATTTAGAAGTTATAGATTACCTGTTTCACATGAATCGCCAGAATAGCCAGAATCACACACACACGTTACGGCGGCTGATCCAGGAGTACACATTCCTCTACTCGTACACGAATTGGCACCACAATCAGCTAAACAAGTAAAAATGGATTTCCGAAGGCAATGAATTTGATAAAGATGACGAGAAGAGAAAAATACCCGTTTTAAAAGATCAATCTTCACTTGGAGGGATACAGTAAAATAGAGTCAAAAGTGGTATCTTAAATTCGATTAACGACAGTGAGGGAAATAGTTACCTCATATGTGAAACTATCAGTCAATAAATCAAACAAAGTAAACGGACTGATTATTTCTTTCAAAGTTCAAATCTGTATGTCTGTACTTTCACTTTTGTTGATTCTCAAGTAAGAAGAAACTCAAAGAGTTTTCTCAACAATCACTGTAATTTCTCTCTTTCTGTTCCCCTGTTCGCTCTGTATCTTTTATTTCTTGATAAGCAACGAATAAGAATTTCATTGGATTTTGCTTTACATCAAAAGTGAATGTATGTATGTGTTTTGTATAATCTATTTAGAAGTTATAGATTACCTGTTTCACATGAATCGCCAGAATAGCCAGAATCACACACACACGTTACGGCGGCTGATCCAGGAGTACACATTCCTCTACTCGTACACGAATTGGCACCACAATCAGCTAAACAAGTAAAAATGGATTTCCGAAGGCAATGAATTTGATAAAGATGACGAGAAGAGAAAAATACCCGTTTTAAAAGATCAATCTTCACTTGGAGGGATACAGTAAAATAGAGTCAAAAGTGGTATCTTAAATTCGATTAACGACAGTGAGGGAAATAGTTACCTCATATGTGAAACTATCAGTCAATAAATCAAACAAAGTAAACGGACTGATTATTTCTTTCAAAATTCAAATCTGTATGTCTGTACATTCACTTCTGTTGACTCTCAAGTAAGAAGATAATCAAAGAGTTTCCTTAACAATCACTGTAATTTCTTTCTTTCTGTTCCCCTGTTCGCTCTGTATCTTTAATTTCTTGATAAGCAACGAATAAGAATTTCATTAGATTTTGCTTTACATCAAAAGTGAATGTATGTATGTGTTTTGTATAATCTATTTAGAAGTTATAGATTACCTGTTTCACATGAATCGCCAGAATAGCCGGAATTACACACGCACGTTACGGCGGCTGATCCAGGAGAACAAGTTCCTCTACTCGTACATGAATCGGCAAGACAATCAGCTAAACATGTAAAAAAAAAAAAAAAAAAAATGATTTCCGAAGGCAATGAATTTGATGAAGATGACGAGAAGAGAAAAATACCTGTTTGAAAAAATTAATCTTCACTTGGAGGGATACAGTAAAATAGAGTCAAAAGTGGTATCTTCAATTCGATTAACGACAGTGAGGGAAAGAGTTAGCTCATTTGTGAAACTATCAGTCAATAAATCAAACAAAGTAAACGGACTGATTATTTCTTTCAAAGTTCAAATCTGTATGTCTGTACTTTCACTTCTGTTGATTCTCAAGTAAGAAGAAACTCAAAGAGTTTTCTCAACAATCACTGTAATTTCTCTCTTTCTGTTCCCCTGTTCGCTCTGTATCTTTTATTTCTTGATAAGCAACGAATAAGAATTTCATTGGATTTTGCTTTACATCAAAAGTGAATGTATGTATGTGTTTTGTATAATCTATTCAGAAGTTATAGATTACCTGTTTCACATGAATCGCCAGAATAGCCGGAATTACACACGCACGTTACGGCGGCTGACCCAGGAGAACAAGTTCCTCTACTCGTACATGAATCGGCAAGACAATCAGCTAAACATGTAAAAAAAAAAAATTAAAAAAAAGATTTCCGAAGGCAATGAATTGAAAGATTAAACGAGAACTCGTTTGAGATTTAATCTCAATTATATAAGTAATATAAAATGAGGGTTTACGTTAAATGAGACCCCGTTAGTGCGCATGCGCTAATCAGCAATATTCGTAGATAGCCGAGGATGTGCCTACTGAACCAAGCAGAAAGATAACGAGAACTGTAATTAATAACAATACCCAGCACTAGGGAGGGTAAGGGAGGGACGTAAACCCTCATTTTATATTACTTATATAATTGAGATTAAATCTCAAACGAGTTCTCGTTTAATCTTTCTTATACTACGTAATACCAATTTCGGGATTACGTTAAATGAGATTTCGAAGCTCAGTAGGCCATCCGATCCAGTGCTCAACACAAAAGTATACATTATTGATAGAATAGCAAGCTAAAGCATGCTGCTAAGAAGGTAAACCAGCTGACCTTAAAAAGGCGATGCCAATTCTAGGACATACTTTAGGACGCCATGATTGCACCTGTGAAATTGACGTTCCTGTTCTCTACTGGTTTCATGTAATAGTTTCGAAACGTCCGTTCAGAAGACCAGCCCGCCTGGGCTAGTATATGCTTGATAGGCAGATTTGAACTGTTTGCTGCTGAAGTTGATGCAGCTCTAGTAGAATGAGCTTTGTAGATGTCTGTGTCGATCCCTGCTGAGGTCAACGTTTCCTTCACCCATCTGCCGATGGTCTGCGTAGTAACGCGTTTGTGCGGTTTCTTGAAGCTGATGAACAGATAGCGTTCCTGTCCCCTGACGCTCTCCGTTCTGCGCAAGTAGTGCCGCAAGTAGTTAAGTACACATAACCTCCTGTCTGGTGGATATGCCTTCATTTTCAAGTTGAAGTTCACATTCCCCGGTTTTGTTTGCTTTAGGAGGTCCTTAAAAATGAACAGAACTTCGCTGCCCTTGATTTTCATGTAGTCAAGATGCAAGCTGTGCAGTGACTGGACCCGCTGGGCCGATATCAGCGCCATAAGTGTGCAAAGTTTCATAGTCAGAGTTTTTAGCGTGAGCGAATTCGCTGGTGCCCACTTCCGTAGATAAGTAAACACTATGTTCACATCCCAAATCTCCTTATATCTTGGCGCTGGAGGGCGCAATTGAAAAGCTCCTTTACAAAAACGACTAATAAGAGGGTGAGTTCCAACTGTACATGACGAATCCTCAAGTACTAGGAATGCAGACAAGGCGCTGCGTGCAGAATTTATAACACTATAACTAGCTCTTTCACTTTCAAAGAGTTCTGACAAAAAATCAATTACATCATTGGATCTCGCCTGGAGATAGTTCAAGCCTTTTTTATGGCAGTATGTCTTCCATTTCCTTATGTAAACGGCATAGTTCTTTGTCGTTGATGCTCGCCACGATGCTGCAATTACATTGATAGCTCTTGCACTCAAACCTTTACTTTCTAGTGGCTGGCGCAGCACCTGCAACAAAGCAAATCAAGCTGATTATTAAGCGGGTGTGGCTCATTTGTAATAGGCTGTGCTAGTAAGTTTGGCCTTCTAGCTATGAACATTGGCTCCCCAATAATCATACTCTTCAAAAGAGGGAACCATGGTTGGGTAGGCCAGTTTGGAATTACTAGTAGGCCTGTTGCATCATCGCATTTAATCT